AGGCAAAAAGGGGGTCCAACCCGGTACTAGCAAGGTGTACCTAATAAAGTGGCCAGTGAGTGTATATCACAAAGGTGTTAGCACAAGGCCAATATTCTTCACAACTTTGGGCTACAATAAGATGCTCAATCTTGATTGTGTCCTGTTTGTAAGTTTGGAATTGAGTGATTGTGGCGTTCAGTGATCTGACGCAGCTAACCAGTAATGACAGAGCGATTGGGCTGCACATTTGTCGCAGTAATAAGGACGCATGCGGTCTGGAGTCTTAGACAGCCCCAGGCACCACATCACCACTGCCATCCAAATGAGGCTGTCATAGAGCGAAACTAGAAATGCTGATACTGATTATAATGCTGCAGATTAAATTCACAGGTGCTTTGAAAAAAAATGAGATTCTATTAAAACGCAAACACTCAGGCTCATTTTTTTTTGTAAATAGGACTGTTCCTACTTAAGAATTTAAGCCCCCCTGTGTGTTTTGTACTAGCCTGAGAGCACAAACTATAATTCCTTCTTCCTCTGAAAGCCAGGTAATCAACAGCAGTAAGATTCAGTTAATAGCATCAGGAATACACACAAGAATGCGATAAGTCACAAACAAAAATTAAAAGGAGGCACTTTTACCACTTAAAGCATCTGGAAATCCTGATCTATCGGTTTGAGACAAAATACCCCCCCCAAAAAAAACACTGTATGAAGTCATCATAAAGACAAGCAGCCAAATTAGGCACACTGCATTACACTACCTCCTGTTTTAATTGGACTAAACTGACTCTAATGAAAAAGTAATAAACCCAGAACAAATATGCACTAACCAAGAATCATTTACATTATTATAGTTGTCAGATGTGGGTTTCATATTATCAAATAGATATGTAAAGCACTGACTTTATCATCATTGCATGTGACTGCATCAGTATTCTTGGGACCAGTGACATTCGGAGTGACCAGCCAGGGACCTGAGAACATTTTAACCTGAGATTAAATCTGAGATGTAATACCTTCTTTCTGACCGTCGGAGTGAAAATGAGATGAAGATGTGAGACAATACATTGTCAGCAGAGTGCTGGAGAGGAAAATATTGCTGTGGCAGTTGTTCTTTTGGCATAAACATGTTCCTGTGGCCTCCACACAGTCAACATCAGAGCAGCCCTGAGAATATCTGCAGCAAGGACACAGTCTCAACCTCTGCAGGAGTGCAGAGTCATACAGGAAATACACATTCCTCTCAGGCCATGCTCTTCCTACTAATAAGAGCTGTCAACTGCCCATCATACAGAAGGCATACAGAGAATGCTAATGGTGTACTTTAAACTCACACTCCAACTAAAAAAACTCTTCACAGATGTCTTTTTTAGGACATTTTGGAGGTCATAAAACATAAATATGCATTGTTCAAAAGACTGGGGTCAGTAAGAAGAAATGAATAGGCCTATTTTTATTCAGGAAGGAAGCATTAAATTGATCAAAAGTGACAGAAAAGACATTCATAATGTTACAAAAGTTTTCAATTACAAATAAATGCTATTCTTTTGAACTGTTTATTCATCAAAAAAATCCAGATTTTTTTTTTTATCATGGTAGGCAGCACAACATTGATAATAACAAATATTTGTCAAGCACAAAATCAGCATATTACAAAGATTTCTGAATTTCTGATTTCTGAGTAATGGCTCCTGAAAATTCAGTTCAGCCTTGCCACCACAAGAATAAATTACATTATAAAATATATTCATCTAAAATAAATCAGAAAAGGCTTGTATATTAAATATGAATAAAAATAAATATTATATTTTAATATTTCACAATTTTAGAGTTTTACTGCAATTCTAATCAAATAAATGCAGCCTTGTTGAGAATAAGATATTTATTTCAAAAACATTTTTAAAACAACTCTGCAGGTGACAGTGATATTAAAAACGTCTGACTTTCAACTATTGCAGAGTCTAACTCTAGGGAAAATTGAAGCTAAAGAAAAGAAACCCAAGGACAAAATCAAAGAGCAGCACAGGAAGAATATATTCCCCCTGTCATTTCTCAGGTCAGATGAAGGCACTAAATTATCAGTGTTTCTGTAACTTCAGACATCTTGTAATCTCAAGCGCTTTGCTTCTGACAAGTCCTCTGTGCAGCTTTCAGCTCATCTCTTTAGATTAGAAATGTAAGGTCCTGTGCTATTTTTGGGACGCTCTGCAGTTGAGGTTTCGACAGGCGATGGCTTCAGTTCAGCCAAACACTTACCTGCATTTATCACTGATGGTTCTTTTCCAAATGTAAGCAGACTTGTTGCAACGTTAGGCTTCACATTGCAATAAAACAGATTTACAGCAGCCCGAATACAGCACTGGCATCAGAGCCAGTATTCATCCAAGCTATTTGCCAAAAACAGTAACTATGGTAACACCAGTGATGGGGGGGTTTTCTAAAATGTTTTAATTCAGATCAGCCAAAAAAATGACCATTTAGACGGTGACCTTTTATGTTTGGCTGTTAAGCCAAGTTATTACTTCCTATTAACTAAGTCAACGGGCCATTAGATTTTCTAGTAGCAGCAACGATGCCTTAAACAACCAATTACCATGTGGAAGAAGGGGAAAAATTGTTAAATCTCAATCTAGGGACAACTGTGCTGCATTTAACAACAGAACCTTTTTTTTATTACTATTGCACACTGCAATCCATTAGACACTGATGCTGTTAGACAGAATCCACAATGTGGAAGCAGAAGAAAGTTTTTAAATGCAAATATTCTAGCCTCAAAGAACAGGCAATGACTCACACTTAGCTGCACATTGTTCTATCTATACATGTCATACTGTGCTGTACCTGAGCAGCTGTTTTCTGGCAAAATCCTGTTTTCTTCCTGGTTATTTTGATTTTAATGCGAAAAAAGAGCTTCCGGGTGTGATAATGACTGGCCAAAGAAATAGAAAGTGTGCTTTACATCATTTTTATATGGTCTTCAAATAGTAAGGAATTTCAATTGATCTCTAATGCTTTTATAGCTAGTGATACTTTATATTCCCTATCTTTAAACCTTACTTACACAAACTCTTCTACTTTTTCATTAAAACACTAGTCTATTCTAAATGTTAACAAACCTTTTTTCTCACATTCTGAGGCACAAACACAACCCACATGTATACATCTGGATTATCTGTTTCATCTCTGGACTAAATCTAAATCTTGGGGGTGGGGGGGATATGAACATAATCCCTACAGAAATCATAAGTCATTCCAACTTTCTGAATCTTAACTAAGTCTTGAAAAATGGGAGTTATATTGTTGATACTAAAAATGTTCCTTCAGCAATATCCACTACACATAAAGGCCAACACAATCCATTATGTATAAGGAGATGTAGCTCACTCTAAAGCCCCCGACTCCATGCTCTCTGCACTGAACAATAAATAATCACTGAGCTCAAATGGAACTAGCACTAACAAGTCAATTAAAAAAATCAATACATTGCCAACTCACACTAAAGTCACAGAAGCCACAGGACTCTCGTGGTATTACAGGCTAATGTTTGTACTATTCACACAGACTTTCTAAATAGTCTGATTTTGGATTTTCATCATTTGGAAACAGGAGCTCACCTATATTCACTGCATCTATATGAACTAAGGAGCTGCAGTCTGGCATCTCCTGCTGTGCAGGGCCAGAGGTGAGCTGTAGAACAGATGCAGCCTCTATTTATCGGGCCCTTAAGGACATACACACAGACAGAAAGAAAGCTGTCTGATGTCAGACACAGTATTCATTTCAGTGAGTCTTCCAGAGGTTTCTTCTGTCTTCTACAACTCCTCAAATAATTGCAAAAGAAAGGAGAAAGAGCCCACCCTTTGAGATGGGTCCTTTATCTTAATTATGAAGATGAAATATGTATTGCTGTGCCACTAGATACAACAAGCAGAATTGCAAAAACAATAACCGTTTTCAAATGGTATCCTTAAATCCCTGTCTGCCATTGCTCACACAAACTCACACAATTTCAGCAAACATTAAAGAATGCAAAAACACTGATAGCAGAGTCACAGTATTTACATTTTAGGAAAACATATTTTAATATTGAAATAAAATACAAAATTGTAATAATAAGGGCTGAACAATTTATTGAAATATAATCAAAATTGTGATATGGCTTTGTGCGATTTTTTAATAATTAAGACATTTATTAGTCAAATATTAGTATAGCAATTTATCAGTTGTACTTATCAGAAATAAAAATGCCTTTTAACTCACAATTACAATTTCTATTAGCCAATTTTTATTTTTTTCCCAAGCGCAGCCCTACTTTCATTGTGTATAAAACTGAGTTTTCCCTTTAGACATGAACTGGCAACTCTGTTAACAAGATTTGTTTCACTTCACACTAAACTCTACCTAGTATATGATGCATAGCCAATGTAGCTATGAAACAGTCATGCAAGATTACTGAAGAACAATAACCATGTGACCTATAACCGTTTTCAAATGGTATCCTTAAATCCCTGTCTGCCATTGCTCACACAAACTCACACAATTTCAGCAAACATTAAAGAATGCAAAAACACTGATAGCAGAGTCACAGTATTTACATTTTAGGAAAACATATTTTAATATTGAAATAAAATACAAAATTGTAATAATAAGGGCTGAACAATTTATTGAAATATAATCAAAATTGTGATATGGCTTTGTGCGATTTTTAAATAATTAAGACATTTATTAGTCAAATATTAGTATAGCAATTTATCAGTTGTACTTATCAGAAATAAAAATGCCTTTTAACTCACAATTACAATTTCTATTAGCCAATTTTTATTTTTTTCCCAAGTGCAGCCCTACTTTCATTGTGTATAAAATGGAGTTTTCCCTTTAGACATGAACTGGCAACTCTGTTAACAAGATTTGTTTCACTTCACACTAAACTCTACCTAGTATATGATGCATAGCCAATGTAGCTATGAAACAGTCATGCAAGATTACTGAAGAACAATAACCATGTGACCTACAGCCAAGACATGTGTTGATACCATATTAGGTAGCATTTCTGGTCTGTTTTAGGTCAAAATTTGAATAATTTTATCATGAATAATCAGTTATCTTTACCATCGCAAGTGTAGAAAAGAAAGATATAGATTGAGAGAGACATAAAAAGGGTGAAAACAGTGCTAAAGGGCTGTAAAAACAAAACATTCACAATCCTATTCAGATTCAGCTGTTGGCCTTCGTCCTTCTGTCACCTCCAAGTCAATACTGTCACACAGACACAACACACTGAGCACAGCCAAGACATGTGTTGATACCATATTAGGTAGCATTTCTGGTCTGTTTTAGGTAAAAATTTGAATAATTTTATCATGAATAATCAGTTATCTTTTCCATCGCAAGTGTAGAAAAGAAAGATATAGATTGAGAGAGACATAAAAAGGGTGAAAACAGTGCTAAAGGGCTGTAAAAACAAAACATTCACAATTCTATTCAGATTCAGCTGTTGGCCTTCGTCCTTCTGTCACCTCCAAGTCAATACTGTCACACAGACACAACACACTGAGTGCCGTACACACCAATCCAGTTATAAAACTGCCAGTCTGGTTTTAAAGCATATAGATATGTATTAGCCTTGTGAACACTCTACCCGTACACACAATCAGCTCGGACTAAAAACAGCACCGATCAGATAAGGACAGTGACACTGCAGAAAGGTCAGTAAGTGGAATGTTTGGGCTGAACGAGGTCTGATGGCCACAATGTAATAGTTTAGAACAAGGAAATATCAATACAGTCAGAAGGAAAAAAACAAATTGGTCATTTTGGAATTATCAGCCATATGCCCACTATATCATTTTTTTCCTGCTTGATTCTAACTGTATATCCAGCTTTATTTTTACTGTACTCTCTCTCTCTCTGAGTTAAATCTCCAGGATGAGTTGTGATCAGCTAATAAAAGGAGAGCATCCACACGGATCAGTGACACTTCCTTAAGTCTTTCCCTATTCTCAGCTTAGACTGCAGTGGGGAAGACATTCTTTCCTTCCCAGAAGGACTAACCAATAACTCAACCTGTGCTTCATTAGTTAAGAGAGCAAATAGAAGTCACGACTGAAATGGTGGTGAAGAAGATAATAACTACAGGGTGACATCAAGAGATTATTACTTTAATGAGTGAAGCTGTAAATGTAAGTGAGCAATCTGATGAACAGACATGAATATGACACATTCCTGAAACTGAGATAATTAGTAAATGACATACAATATAGACTGCAGAAAGTATACTCCAAAAACATTAACCCAATATTGTCAGATTTAGCAAAAAAAAGTCAATTTTAGAAGTACTATTACATTTATATCATTATTCTATATTTAAATGTTAAACCTAAATGTTAAATATAAATCTTAATATAATTCTGTTAAATATAAATATTAAATGCAAATCTAAATGTAAATTTTTACTATAACGCTTGATTTATTAGCGACCCTAGTCCTTCTTTGCCAGTGACATAAAACCAGTGCTACAGGCAGCAGAAATGTTGTTTTATGTAATGTGCACTATTTTACATTCAGCACCCCATAACACAGTGCCTGCTAATACAGTGGTTGGCCTTTGTTGAAGCCCAAAGCACATAAAGTCTAACAAAGATAATAACACTTAATCACATAATTTTCAAGCCGTTTACTGTGAGTAATGTACTATGGAGTAAAGTAAAATAGTGCATGGCACTGCATAAAGCCAAAACAACTGATGCATGTGTAGTCAGGACAGCAGACTCAAACCATATCAAAACAGAATGGCATGTCATCTCTAGCTTCATACTATACCCAGGCCCTTTGTTCACAAATAATTCCCTCCTAGGACCTCAACAAAGACATTCTGGGATTTTGTACAATTTCCTGGAATTCCAGATTCCACTGTTAAATCACTTAAAACAAACACAGGTTTCATGATTCTATTCTGGGAATATCAGATCCAGGCCTCTCCTCAAAGGTGTTTTTCGGTCTCAAACCAAAGTACCCATGACTGATTGATTGAATTTCCCCCAGTAAAAACAGTCTCTGCAGCTCCTTCCAGGATCCACATTAAGACCCAGTGGCTGTACCACAGATGACGGCTGGAAAATGACATGAAGTCTAGGCCAGAGCTGTCACTGGGGTTTCACAGTAGAGGTAACAGGAAGGGCAGCCAGAGGGGGGAAATGATAAATAGATGGGGTCTATTTTTTCATAACCTGCTCTGTGACACCAAGACCCTTTAAGCATCATAACAATGAGCAGGTCAAACAGTAGAATGACAGAGCAGACAGGTGAAAACTGTAAAAGTGCAAAAGTTTAAAAGTGTAAAAATAAAGGTAAAAACAAATGTAGTAAGAAATATTAAAAACATTGTAAATACATGAGACATATAATAGATTATAACAATGGGACCTATAATCCATTGTAACTTAAGTGGATTTAATATGTTCATTGTGAGTCAGTTTAAGTTCTTAAAAAGTCGTTATGATTATTCATGAGATGATACAAACTATACAACAAAGGTTTTATAAAGAATTAAAATACCCTTATAATGCATTATAAACATATGCTTCATAGAAATTGTTACCAAACAGGTTTTTTTAAATAAATTAAATACACAGAAAAAAGTGAAGCTATCATGGCTGACCAATGGTAGATGGGTGAGTGATCATGAAAAATTATTGAAAACAAACAACTATTTTTACAGTTCCATAATAAAGCTGATATTAAAGCTACCCTAACAACTCTGATCTAAAAATGTGAAAAGTGCAGTTTAGAGCTATATTTGCAATAATAAATAACAGGCCTATAATATACAGTACAAAGATGAGAATTAGGAAACTGTTTCGCAAATAAGTGTGTGAGAGAGAGATTAAATGAGAAATGTGTGTAAGTAGCTCCCAAACAAGAAACATAATCTCAGCTTGAATCTCACTAGATTTGCCTGCATATCCCAGGAGTATCGCATGGCTGTATCAATAAACCAGAAGCTTGAACAGATCCCACACAAATCGTTCCGCCAATGACCCTTGAATATTTCACTTGCATAATTCAAATGATCAAAGCGGATACAAGCAGAGAGCACACAGCTACAGCAAGCATGAATAACCACAGGCTGTATTCCTAAAGGAAACCTTTGAGTCAACATCAGCAGTCAATTAAAAGCTTAACAGTATCAAACAAGAGATCCATCCTAACATTAACCACCATGACGGGACAGTTGTCAACTTTCACGTATAAATCGGCACATGCATAAATCAGTATAACTGATACAGGTCTAGATCTGCAGATCTGTGCTTCTGAAGCTGGAGAAACAGAACAGATACACACCTGTGCGGCACATTGCAGGAGCGCTGCTCGGATTGAGGGATGTGCTCAGAATAACTCGCCCGGTTCCACATGCTTGCCGCAGGTTTGCTAGCTTGCGATAAACACTCCTCTGAGCGGAGCACAGCTGCTGTTACTGCTGCAGACAAGCACTGCCCAGCTCACGAGTTTCATTTAAACGGCCTTCCCGCTCCCGGGATCTCCCACTCACAGAGAGACACAGGGGGGATGGGGATGGAGCACAAGCAGCTAGCATTCACATCAAAACACACAAGCGCAAGAGCGTTTCACCTCTGCTGCACCTCGTACTCTTTCACGCTCACGTTTGTCACGGTTAAATGATGAGAGGGTCTCTATATACTGCGGAATAGGAGACAGCAGCAACATCAGCAGAGATTGGGATGATAGAGATGCAAGATGAGGAAAAAGAGAAGGGGAAAAGGACAGAAAGGTGGGAGGCGGGAAGGGGAAGAAATTAAATGAGACAGTGATAAAAGGGATGAGACTCAAGATTGAAGTAGGCAGGGAGCAGAAAGGTTGAGACAAAGAGAGAAAATAACTGATTAAATAGACAGAAGGAGAGAACAAGAAAAAAGCCCTTTTAAAGGAACAAAAAGGCACGTTTTAAAGCCGCAGAGGAAGGGAAATGGCACGGCTCCAACTGGCGAGACTGATTATAGGCTGTGCAAATGGGCGCTATAAGCTAATGAAAGAGCGGCTGCAGGTGAAGGATGAGTCTCGAGCCTTTAGGTAATCCAGAGGAGTAACAGGCACCGGCTCTTCGTTCCTCGTGTTCGTCACAATCCCCAAATGAAGAAACCCTCTTGTACCCCGGCTCCTGTTCTGTTCCCACGGCCCAGATGTAAAATGAGATTCAGTGAGCATCCACAAGTATGGGGTCTGGCCCTCAATTACAGTGGGGTCCAAATGTCTGAAAAACCACACTGAAAATATGGGACTCGATATTATAGTTTAAACCTGGAAATAAACAAAGTTTCAGGATTTTGAAACAAATAAAACAATGCAATATTATCATCTCAAATGACTAAGAAATGTATGATTCTGCACTCAAGGTCACGTAACCAAATAAGCAAAAAGATATTAACCAATCATGCTATTTTTAAACCATAACCGATTAATTTTTTATTTATTTTTTTGGGAAAAAGTGTTGTGTAAATCTCCAACAATAACCAATATTAGGGACCATTTCTTAATTATTGTTCTATTTCTAGCTTTCCCACACAATTAAACCGAATGTTCACTATACTACAATAAAACATAACATGTATTTTCATTTTATTAATAACAAATTAAAAAGATACTCCACCAAAGAAAATAATAATAAATGTACTCACCCGCATGACATCCTAGATGAATATGACTTTCTTTTATCAGATGAACACAAACAGATCTCTGTGAATTCATATAATTCGAGTGGATATCTGCCACAAAGCTGACACTTTAAAAACCACACAAAGGAAACACAATGGTAATTCATAAGACACCAGTGTAGTGCTGGGCGGTATACCGGTACATACCGAATACCGGTGTTTATTTTTGCTATGATATTAATTTTTAAAATACCGCAATACGTATAGTACACAATAGTGTCGCTTAAACAACATTTGGAAAGCGACACTGTTTGAAAGGGGTCCCTTTTCACTGTTGCACTGTGGTGAGGGAACAGCTGTATGTGTTACTAAGCGTGAAAGTTCCGAAACTGAAGCTGTGTAGAACTAATAGAACGTGATGACACAGAATAACTCATCCACAATATCTACATTGACCGCCAGAAATATCCACCGCCCCCTGCCATCAGCTCCCGCGTATCACACACACGAGCGAGACTTTAGCACTAGGATTTAACAACTTTCAGACCCTTTTAGCAGGTTTTTTCCATAGAATATTCATACTGACAAACCTAGTGACTTTTTGTGTTACTAAGCGTGAAAGTTCCGAAACTGAAGCTGTGTAGAACTAATAGAACGTGATGACACAGAATAACTCATCCACAATATCTACATTGACCGCCAGAAATATCCACCGCCCCTGCCATCAGCTCCCGCGTATCACACACACGAGCGAGACTTTAGCACTAGGATTTAACAACTTTCAGACCCTTTTAGCAGTTTTTTTCCATAGAATATTCATACTGACAAACCTAGTGACTTTTTGGGATAAACCTTCGCTATGGTTCAGTTGGAAGATTTCGCCAGTGCTGTCCCGCGAGCGCGAGGTCTGACTTTCCCAGAGAAGTGTCACCTCTCTCGGCGTCTGTTCTGTGCAGTGAGCGGCAGAGAACAGTGTTGCCAACTAATTTTCAGGGGAAGTTGCTAAAGGAAGGTTGATTTGCTGCTAAAAGTTGCTAAATGACGTTGCGATGGGTCACTGCATCAAATCTCAGCAAAAAATATTTTTTATATATGTTAATTTAGATGTGTTTATAAAATAATTTAAATGCATAATATAATATTAAAATATAAATAACTAATTTTAAATACAACATTGAATTATTTAACACTTTCACATTTCTGAACGATTACAATTTAAGTTTATTTTTATTAGCTAGTAAACTAGTAAAACTACTCATTCTGAACAATTATAGTTTCAAGCATTGTATTAGTAGTTAGTATGCTACACTCTAAGAAAAGTCTGTAAAAATAGGGCAAAATCTACTAATATGAAGGAATTTTCCGTAATTATTATTCACAGGTTTTTTACCTACATTTTAAATTACGCATTGTATTTTGTGTTTTCGAGTTACAGGGTTACAATGGATAACGGATAATGTCCTGGAAAATTACTAGTACCTTTTTCTTACTGTGCACTAACTGATCAACAATCTCAAGTACAAGCTACTAACAAGGTGTATAATAAATGAACATTATTATTATTATTAAATTAAACAATTGCAAATAGCAGCTAACTTAATTCACGTGATGTGTGTACTGCTAGGCACCTTTGGTTTCCTCTTTTTGTGTAATTTAGATGGAAAATGTGTACCTTTTTTATCACTTATCTGCAGGCAGTGCGCTGCATGAGACAAAAAAGTAATATAGCGAAAACAACCGCATAGCCGCTCTTTAGTGTAGATGCATTGTTTATCAGACGATGCCGCGATTATAAATGAGAGTGACTCCTGGTTAACATGTATTAAAAGGGGTCGTGTTTAGTCACTATTTAGTGTGGTATTTTTTTGACACTATTCACTCATCATGACAGTAAAATAGGGCATTCTAAGTCAATATACTGCAGTATTTCCTCTCTCAATCAGTAGAAAATATGGTTAACACCCGGTCATGCATGAAAAGTGCATTTTTGGTCATACCGCCCAGCACTACACCAGTGGATGATTTAATGTGTTTTGAAGCAAAACGATATGTGTAAGAGAAAAATACTAATATTTTATAATATTATTTAGCTATAAAACATCACTTCCGGCCAATTGTCATGCGCACATTTGCATGACACAAACGTCAACACACTGTGAAGCGTGATGTAAATAATCCACAGAAATGTATTCTTTTTCTAAAAATCTTGAGTAAATTGTGTGAGTAAATGAGAATTTTTATTTTTCAGTGGAGCATCCTTTCCATTTTTACTCATGTTTTTATTCTGGAAAAAATTTTGAATCTTCAAAACAAAAAAAATTACAATATAGCTGCAAGCAGCGATTACCGGGGTTCAAGCGCTTTACGCATTTAAGCACATAAGGAAAAATACATTACATATTATTTAGCAAGCCTGTAACCACCTAAATCAATGATTTAAAAAATTTTTTTGGCAAATCCAGGCAATGTACCGTAGAAATATGATCTTTTTATAACATTAACATTAACGTTATAGCAGCAGCTGGGGTCCGATCTACTTGAAACTTTGCATGTTTGTTTAGAATCACCTGTCGCATGTGCTCACTGGGTTTCGTGAATTTTGAGTTTTTGTTTAGGCTTTATAGGCTTTTGGGTACATTTGGACAGGCCCCTTTTTCTAAAGGACCCCGTTATAGCTTCCCAAAGGGTAAATTTCAACATGTTTTTGATAATTATTGACCTAGAGAGTCCAGAGAATTGCACTGCGGTGGTTTTTTCTAGATTGAGCGAAAAACCTAGGACTAGTTCGCAAAAGTAGGTTTTTCACATCTTCTCAATCATTTAAAAAATGGTTTGATTGACAGCAGTGGTTCTAGAGGTAAAGTTGTTCGGAACGAGGAGGTCTATCATACTATATGAATATCGTGTGTATGTGCGGAAAACCACGCATTGTACAATCGTTTACACCCTCAAAAAATGTGATACCGCGCCCCCCCACCCAGTGGCCAATTTCTTTCAAATTTCTTACAGAGCTTTGGGGTCATGAGTCAAACAGGCGCACCGAGTTTCATTCCGATCTGCCTCCGTTAACCTTGTCTAATAGGTGCTCAAACTTCATCGTCAATGGCGGCCTCTTTTGAAATAAGCAAATGTCCCCATAGACTCTTTTGGCATTTTGGACAAAGACCGTGCATGGCGATTTTCATGCTGATAGGACAAATGGTTGCCTAGTTATATTTTTATGCTTTTTCCCTCCTATAGCTCCACCAAGTGGCCAATCCTTGATTTTTTTCCCCGTGACCTCAGCTTGAGCTCTTACATAAGTATTCTGAATTTGGCGAAGATATCTCATTTTGTTCAGGAGTTATAGGCATTTTACTAAAAGTGGCCCTTCCCCTTTCGGACATTTTGGTGTTCCTTTGCGACGGTGAGTCGAAAGTTCCACATTTGTTTGATAATTATTGATATTCACTCTCCAGAGAATCTTTCTGTACTGGTTCGGTTCTGATCGGGCGAAAAACCTAGGACTAGTTCACAAAAGTAGGTTTTTCAAAAAATGCAAAATACCCGAAAATTTCACGCGGCTCACGGTCGAATCTGCATTTTGTCCGGCATGAGCCAAGGATTCCAACGACATAAGACACTTGAGCTTGCGACCAACGGTTTAGGAGTTATGAGCGGTTTCGTACTTTTGATCACTGTAGTACCCCCGTCAGGCCGATTGGGGCGAGCCTCGGTCACGTTGTAGGCGGTGTGAGTTAGAGGTCTGCGTGGGACTATTTTTTTATTTTTTTTAGTCCTGCTACCGCAAGGTTATATTCCGCACCCACCCGCTCCCGCTATATATTCACTCTTTGTTCACCCGCTGTCCGCTTAGAATAATTTTCTTCCCGACCTGACCTTTCTCGCTAAATTTAGATCTCGTTTCCAGAATCTCACATTTAAATTTCCGCTACTGAAAGAAAGAGAGATAGGCTAACAAATAAAAGTGTAGTCTGCACAAAACTGTATGTTATTTTATTCGTCTTGTCAAGAGTCTTGAATTTATTGACTTTGACTTGAATTTATATGAATTATCATAAGACACAAAATTAGTTTAATATTTTATGCAACAGTAGGGGGGAAAAGTGTCAGAGAAAATAATAATGTTGTACAAAAATTGTAGGCTATTTCTTATTTTTATTAATCTTGTCAGGATACAATTTGTTTAACATTTACAACACAATAGAAAAAAGTGTCAGAAAAAAATCAAATGTAGGTTGTACAAAAATAGAAAGAAACCCGACCAGATTCCGCGATCAGTTTTATGTGGAGATCATCTGTGACAATTCTAACAATTACAATAGGGTTTCAGCACTACGCGCTTGAACCCCTAAAAAACAGAAGCATTTTCAATAGTGGTCTCAGCTCAGTCTTTGGGACCCCCACAGTATGTCATTTTGAATGCAAGGCAAGTTGCACTATAACTGGCAAAGGGCAGAGGAGGGAAAAGATGATAGAATCTCATCTGGTTGAATTATGAAGGATGCTCAATCATGCACATGCATTTGGCACTCACCTGAGTGAGTAATTAAAATCAAACATCACATATGCGGCTCACTAAACCCATTACTGTCCCACAGCCCAAGGGGACATTCAGCCTCCTCCATATCCGTGCTGCATAAGCCGCTAATTTATAAGTAATTAAACAGCAAATGAGAGGTTATGAAGCAATTACTCCCACATATATGTGACATAAAAACACATTCTTCAAATTACATAAAGTTCCTTGTAATAACATTACTTTAAAAATGTTTTAAACTTTTCTGAAATTAAAAGGGATTAATTTTTTCCCTTCCAATTTTGTAAAATAAAACAAAGTCGAATGGTAACTCTGGAAATGCTATGGGGACTAAAAGTCTAAGTAAAAATGCTTCTGTTTTTCTTTTTTCCCAATTTAATATAGTTTTTTTAAAGTTTCATTTAAAAAAATTAACATGAATTTCAAATACATTTCTTTGTAAAATCTGATGACAATGAAGCCAAATTATGGCACTTTAGAGGAAGCAAGAACATCTGACCATTTATACAAAATTCACATGGCCAATGTGAAAAAATTAACAGTTTGTAAAATTTCTATAATTAAATTTTTAAAATTGTTCTAAATACTAAATCATTCCAGGTTTACATAATTTTTTTTCTATATGGTCTCAAACTTTTGGACCCCACCCCACTGTATTTCTCATGCTTATCATTAAATTAGCTTTGAATTGTCCTCCACTGACATCTGATGTCTGGCAAAACAAGACAGTTGCAGATCTATACTCTTGGATGCCATGATGAAATCCCCAAATGCTTCCTTGATAAGCTTACTTTAAAATGCAACAGAGGTTGCCTGCTGTTCCCATCATCATCTGAATGCAAACACCTAACCATTCAAACAAACCACTGGGATACGGTATAAATGTAATAAGCACGTAATACTGTTTTGCCTCGTTTGCAAACTGGACCTTTACCTCTGTGATGCATCAGGCAGTATACAGCTGATAAAACACTTTTTTTTTTTTTGACACATAAAAAAGAAGATCTGTCAGTCAGTGTTCGAACTATACCGTTCGAACATATGGCGTTTTTATAACGAGGGGGGGTTCGTGCGCTTACAAGTGTGTGCACTACCTGCTTTATGCAAGCACTATACATAGGATAAATCACTATTCAGGGTTTACCCTATTATACTTTATCGACACGAATTAATAGGTGAAACAACAAACAGCCACCCACAAATAGTCTATAAACAAAGCATCAGGCTGTCTTTGAGTTCACATGAACAACGGTTAAAGTTACTCGTCGTCAGGCTACAGAAGAATACCATAATTCCTCCATTCAATTAGGCCTAAGACATCGAGAGTCACGCAGACCTATAACAACCCAGCCACAACACATAATTGCGAATAACATGCCTTACCTTAACACAGAATCGACCACAGAGTCCAACGTTTATATTTTTTCTACGAATCTTTGCGTTAACATGTACTAAATATGGGTGGAATTTGCACCGCAGCACCCCCACACCTTGATGCTCATTACAAGAATAGCATGTACAGTTATCTTTATTGAAGTGAATTAGGTTTAAATCGCCGTCATGCATGAATGAGTTTTAAAAATAATAATCCACAATGACCACATTACACAAAACTGAAATTACACATCAAAATAACACATTGTCAATATTTTTTGAGACCCCCCAAAATTTCACAAATCACGTTTTCAGGGGAGCCCATGTCTTATTAAGGGGAGCCAAGCTCCCCCGTAGTTTGCACCCTGCTGTCAGTGCCAGAAATTGTTTGTGTACAAGGGTAGTTGACTGACAGCAGGAGATGAGAAATGAATCATCCGACAGTATTCCGCTCAAAGCCCTTGACTGTCATACAGTCGTTCCAAAGAGATGAGTTAATCACAATTATTACTGAATCATCTTCATTCTCACATCCAACAGTGTCAATATAGAATCATTATGGCGTTAAATTTAAGTCCCACAACCTTGGGGTTGAAATTGTTTTGAATTTAGTTTCTTCACATTGTAAATGCGCAACATCTAATTTTACTTTGGCAGAAATATATATATCTGGAACATTTGTATAATTAAAGATATTAGTGTGTGTCCATCAATTTCATATTAAAAGATCAGAAGGTGCCAAAATAAGTTCAAACGTCATATTAACATCCTAAATTCGTTCTTGAACACCGCTCTTGTTCAAATGAGCATTTTACACTCATGCAATCCACATTAAGTGTGAAATAAACAGATAATGGTTCCATTTAGAAACTATATGATATCTATATGATATATTAACCATTGCCATAGCCTTAATGGATTTCACAGCATCCTTTCGAAATTATAGTCATAACCATAACTTAAACACAAGTTTATTGGCTATCCAGTTAAGCTGTAGCAATATTGAGCAATAATAATAAAATGTGACTTCCATCATAACTGCTTCAGATCATCCTTAGAATAAAGCCATTTAGTCATTTGGTAATTAATGAGCCTTTGTTAAATATAATCTGCTGAGTCGACATCTTCCCGTCGATAAATCTGTTCAAGGGAATTACAAAGTTGTATGGTACTCACCACTTATTTGGCCTTGAAGACCTAAGGACACGCCACAAAAGACACAACTATGCACAAGTACTATCTTCAGTTTCTCTTATGTATATGCCTCAAGAAGGTCAGGATATCTGAAGATGAACTTTATCCACAAATGGTTATTCTGTTCTCCTTTATGTATCTTCTGGCACGTGCTCTCGGCATCCAACAAGACTAATAGTTCTAAACCTCGAAGCTATCTAAACTCACTGAAATGTTACTGAAGGTATATGCCAGAGTGTCTCATGTGCCAAAAATATCCCGGTGCTAATTGCTCATATGACCTCTGTTTGCTCCAGTCTCTTCCCACAAACCACCCAGCCTGTCTGTAGAGGGTGTGGAGTGCAGAGTTGGATGGGTGAAATTAGTGCTGGATCAGCCTGAACTGAGCCGCCCCCAGTCACCCAGAGTCAGCCCGTCAGCACCTTCTCAATCTCCCTTGTGAGCCTCAACAGGATGAGAGGAACAGAAAAGAGGTCTCATCCCTAAATTAAGCAAAGAATGAAGGGTCTGACCATACGCCCCCATTCTCGGTGGTCTCAGGTTACACCTGCTGCAGGGTTATCCATAGTGTGCCGCTTCAAATCAGCAGAAACTGATGAGCTTGCTGTCCGGATGCAACCAGAACCCGCATCTATCTCTGCCTTCAGGTTTATCTGCCACAGAGCTGATCAACTGATGCAGAACAGAGAAATTATGCATTAAAAAGTACTTGAGACCCACTAAAGAAATTGTAAAATAAACCAATAACTTCTATATAATGTGGAGAGAACATCTGCTTGCATTCCTATTTATCTCAACAAAACCTCCTGGAAGTACACAAATTAAAACCTGCTGTCTTTGCTCATCTGTACACACCTGAACTATACATGCCATGTGACTAATAAATAAAAAATCTAATAATAATAATAATAATAATAATAATAATAAAACAATGCTGACAAAAAAACACTATAACATATCAGTATAATATAATATAATATAATTCAAAACTTTGGGGTCACTAAGATTATTTAATGTCTTTGAAAGAGAGCATATTTGGTCAAAAATATAAAAACACAAAACAGTAATATAGTGAAATATTTTCACAATTTAAAACAACTATTTTCTATCAGATATTTCAAAATGGAATGTATTCCTGTCAAGCAAAGCTCCATTTTTAGCAGCCATTACTCCAGACTTCAGTGTCACATGATCCTTTAGAAATCATTTTAATATGCTGATTTAGTGCTCGAGAAAAGTTTTTTATCATCACAGCTAAAAACTAGTGTCTAATGATTCAATGGACCATTCATAAAGAACCATTTACTTCACTCCTGAATGAAGCCATTTGAACGAATCAAATGAATAAATGACTCGATGACTTAATCATCAAGACATTTACCACCACCTACTGGCAGTTTTAGTTTATTATTTAGAGTATAATTTCATTAAAGAAATAATTTCATATTTCCATAGTAATAATCATAAAATTAATAAAATAAATTATTAAAGGTATAGTTCACCCACCCAAAAATGACAATTTCATTCGTCATCATTTACTCACCCTCATGGTCCAAAAGAGTATATGTAATAAATTTTATTAAACAAAATATTTCTTGCTGAAGCTGTTTGAAGTCTGTTTAACGCTTTACACAACAATGACTTTAAATTATCTTTTGGGAGTCATTTCTCAGCCAAATTTGATGTGTAATAAATTTGCGATTAATTAGATTAATTAATCGCCACATCATGTAATTAATTAGATAAAAAATTGTAATCTATCTATTTATCTATCTATCTGACACCAAACTTTTCAACAGTAATTTAATTTACATAGTTAATTCTGAATGTCAAAGGAGAAAGACGCTTTTTGTTCCAAATGGTGTAGTTCCAAGCATTTACCTGCAGGGGTCATACTAACCTATTTAGCCTTGACACCTTGATATAATATTGAAAGGGGAATTAATCAAAACCTCAGATCAATTATTAAAAAGCAGATGGGCTTGTTAAAATGCATCACTGCACTAGGCCAAAGGTTAGAGCCAGGACAGACATGGTAACAAAAGCCTAGATGGTCAACTATCAGTCATGTAAACATTAAAGGATAGGCAGAAAGAAAGAGTAAGAGAAAAATCCAAGATTATCCAAGATTACTTTTTTAGGGTATGGAGAAAACACAGGCTAACTCTATTTTGAATTCAATAAATTGGATATAAATTATAAATGAGCAAAAGGGAAAAGCCTCCTGAAGCTGTCCATTTAAATCCTGAATAAGAGTCGGTCCATTGAAAGGAAACTAATCCCCCCCTCTCTGGGGCCGTCCACGTGTGACCTATGAAAATCAAAGATTCAACAGCATTCCCTGGTGGTTGTCTTGAGCACGGCAGAATGTTACTACATTCCACACCGCAGCTCTCACGCTGCTCTGGCCCAGCAGAGGATCATTGACTCTGACAGAAATAACTTCATTCTCTCACCGTAGATATTTCTTCCAGGCTTTAATGTGGGCAAGGTGGGAAACTGTCATAGCTAGTGCTGGGGCTATTTGTCCTGTGATCAGTCCTGGCAGAGTGAGTTAAGAATGTATTCCCAATGTATGTATTAGGAATATTAATTGCCATAATCAATGTCACCATTACAGCTTGTTCTACACTGTAAAAAGTAATCACTGAATCTACTTAAGAAAAGCGAGTAAACATAACTATATAAATATAAAAATAATTTTTACAAATTTGTTGAATTTACTTAATTACACTGTGTTATGTGAACTTTCAGGTGGATGCAATAGTTAAACTAAACAACTTTAGTAAACAGTACTTAAGAGCATTTAGTTTGTTGGATTAAATCCCACTATGTGCCCTAATAACTCTAGACCAGTAGGTGGCGGAAGTGCACCAATAGGTGGTGGAAGGTTGGTTTAAACAAAGCATCACCAGAAGACAACTAACTGAACTTCAGAGTCAGATCGTGTTTGAAATGTGGCCGCAAGATTAGGTAAGTTTTTGGTGATCTACTTATAAACTATATTGTCACAGTGTGTGCTATCGTTTTTGAGGAAAAGAAAAGGCAGATTTTATTAGTTTTTACTGACTAGCATTACTGTAACCGTCAGTTAGCGTACTAGCTAGCCATAGCCAGTGGTTTACAAGCTAGATTACAAGCATCGATCTTCCTCTTTACTGCTAGTTATAACATGAAATAAACATGAGTAAGTATCATAAAGTATGTTGAGTGATACAGTACA